ACCAGGAAAAGGCAGGGTCGCTTCAAAGCCTACATAGATTGTCTGGCTTTGCTTGTTCAGAAAGACACGGAGCTAAAGAGCAGTGAAGAGCGGTGGAAGAACAGATGTGACACACTGGAGGCAACAGGAGCTGACTCTGAGACAGGAAAGCTGGAGGAGGAAAGTACAGGAGGAGGAGCTGGAGGAGAGCAAGATTTAAAAAAAGCAGATGAAGAAAAACTGAAATCAAATGGAGCCGGAGAAAAACAAGATTCAAAACAAGCAGGAGGAGAACAAGATTCAAAAGCAGGAAAAAGATGGAGAACAGGAGGTGGAGGAGGAGACACAGAGAAGTGAAGGTAAATGAATGAGAGGGAAAAAAAAGAAGAAACCAAAGAAGAGGAGGAAGAAAAAGACGACAGGGGTTAATTACAACTAAGTAGATACTTTACCCACTGCACATTTCCCCCCTTCCCCATTCCTACCCTTTATCCACCAATGCCCCCTTCTCTCCCACCCTTTAAGTGAGTCTGTCTGTGTTTGCCTCTCTGAATTCAGATACAGGAACCATGGCTCTTATCATGTCCTGCAGTGTTAAGGTTTGTAGACCTCGAGTAGAAAAAAAGGAGTTAACATACTGCATTGTGGAATCTGTTTGTGACTCATTTTGATGATCAAATTAGTCTTAATGCCCTAAAAGAGAGCTGGTTTGGCACGGTTTACTCAGACAACAGAGAGGGTCAAAAATAGAATATAATATGGACGATTTGGATGATTAAAACAGCCCTATCACTAATGGTAACACCTGAATCATCTGCCTTCACTATTCTAGAAAAAAACTTCCACCTTTGGTCTTCCAATCTCCCACATGTCTTCTTCTGGTTTGGGGCTTTTTTTATGGCTTTTTATATTTTAGACAATAGTGTGCTTCCAACTTTGTGCCAATGGAGACAGCATGTCCCGTTTCAACGTGGATCAATGCTCAAGAGGTTGTTTTTCCTAGATTGTTGTAGAAGAACTGGATAGGACTGGAAAAAAAAGCAGTACAGCATAATACCTTCCCATAATGATCTGCACCTGCAAAACGTCTACTCGCTGCACCTGCCTTCTATCAAGCACTAATCAAACCACTCCAAAATCAGATCGTTAACTTTGTACACAAAATATCCCAAAATATACACAAAGGATCATCATAACATCCGCTGAGCAAAATGGTGCTCCGCAGATAACTTATTGTAATTCAGTTGACAACTTGTCCTTTAATGTGGCGAGACTCAAAGACTGACTATATTTGTAAGATAATTCAAAATATAATGAGTGAATTACTGTGATTACTTGTTTACTGGAGGATGGACCCTATGTGTTGTCTCTCTGTTAACTTTCCAGACCGAAACATGAGGATAACTGTCCTGCATTTGAACTGCTGAACTTAAATAATTGCATTTTTTAAAAAAATGAACCATTTGAAATTGAATTAATTTGTTCTGAAACAGTATGTGACCCTCACTGAGAATTCAACTCTGTATATCCACATTCAGTTCTCACAGTTCAAACTCAGCTCTTGCAATTCAGTGACTTAGACACACATGTGGTCGTTGAAGAGGAGTCTTTGTCATGTTTTTGAACAGTAAGACCTGCTGTAGAATAACACAGTTCAACATCTTACCAGGGCAAATTTCACTCCCTGAGCTGAGGGGCGTTTGAACAGTGCACTTTAGATTATTTAATAGACCACTGTGAGCTCCTTTGTGCCATGGGCTCTCCAGATAATGAAATACTTGTTGAGTTTTATAGATTTTGTACAGTTCTCCTTCACTCAGAGAGGCTCTTTGGTGCAAAACTGTAATGATTGATTACTGTTTGGAGGCGAGAGGTCTACTAAGTGTAGCAAATGAAATGCAGAGCATTCATGAAGTCCATCAATAATTCTATTAGCAACGCTCTGGGTAATTTGTGCTATTTAAGTCCCGACTTTAGTACACGACTTAATGAGCCATTGTAACTTACCATTGGTCTTTAATGGGAGCTGCTCAGTCTAAATTGTGTCAGCTCTCCGATTGCTCCTGAGCACTTGTGATTTAAACTCGACCACTGGTGATAAAAACGGACCTAAACAGTGAAATCACCACAGTCATCTAACAGACTATTTAGGTCTTTCCCGCATTTCATTTCCCCGCAGTCTGATAACCATTAGAGCATCTTCTTCCCTTAAAACTGTCAAATGGTAATTAATGGATTCTAATGGCACCATTTCCATCACTCTCCTTCTGGTTAGATCTCTAGTGTGTAATTACCTGTGTAAGCATCATTAGCTATTAGAGCATAACATCAATTTCTATTTTGAGTTGAGCATACTTTATTTAATGTTAATGGGTAAATACTCTCCCAGGGCTCTGATTGAATTGGATTAGTACACATATGATTTCCTGCTTTATCAAGTTCTGCTGAATTAAATGAGTCGTCCTGGCTCAGGCACAGTGGAAAGACTGAGGTGTTCACTGAGGTCAGCAGCAGGATCACTGGTCTGGACTGGTGACTTCAGTCATAGCCTTTAAATAAGAGTTTTAACGTATAAATGAAGAAGCCTTTGTGAATGATGTCACACAGTGTTTACATCTTTGGTTTCAGCTCTCCTGTCCTTTATATTATTTTTCTGTTTTCCCTAATGCGTCTTGACACAGTAGTCTGGAGTAATGGCTCTGAAATGCTACACTGAATCGATGCCTGGTGTCTTTCCCTCTCTTAGGTAATTTACTTGGTAATGAGAGACGGTGCAGAAGACTGTCTCTGCGCATGCTGAGAAGATGTAATCTGTTTTCCCTATGATCCAGTTGGGTTACACAGGCTTGGGTTGCTAATTAATTAACTATGAAACAGGAAAATAGGATTTCACCGAAGGGCTTAATTTGGGTAGTCGCTGCCCCTCACCTTCCAGTAAGCCGACGGTCGACGGTGCCTCACGTGAACTACTGTATGTCACCATCTTTGACAAAACCAGATAATCTGCTGTCTGATGTAATGTATAAAACCTGCAGGAGTCTATCTCTGTGTTTGTGTGTGTGTGTGTGTGTGTGTGTGTGTGTGTGTGTGTGTGTGTGTGTGTGTGTGTGTGTGTGTGTGTGTGTGTGTGTGTGAGACTAGAAGGTGTGTGTTCATGTGTGGACATGTGGGGTTATATTTCCACTTGTCTCTAAAAAACAATCTGTATCAATCAGTGTTGATCTAAATGACCCGGCGTGTCAACAGCAAACCTTCATGAGAGTGGTTTTCAGTGCGAGAGATAAGGTCAAAAAAGCCATTTTGGGTATCATAAAGGACATATTGGCTAGATATTGATGTCATTTATTACCTGACAAGGATGGTTACAGTCGGGCTGGTGGAAAAGGGGGGAAAAGCGCTGCCCTAATGCTCCGAGCAGACTGAAATGGAGGATAGCCATGATGGAAGAATCAATTAACCTTGGCCTGGAAGTGAACTGCTTGATCTTTCAGCACGATTTTATTTGTTGACAAATATACCATCTGCTGTTCTGTGGATAAGGGGCACGACACCGTGTGTGTGTTTAAGTGTGTGTGTGTGTGCTCACATTGGCTCTGGGATAGAAGAATGAGTGCTGAATGTGTGCATACAAATAAGAGCAGAGAATTTGCACATGAAAAATCAGACACCGGTAAATGTAGTGGAGATGTGTGACTAGTCTCGTACTAGCAGATGCTTATGTGTGCACTTGGTGCCTCTATGAAGTATTTTCTACATATGACATTAAACATTGACGTTTTGTGCTGATACAAGCAATTATTCAAACCAGAGTTTCCCAACCTGGAAGTGGACCCAGCAAATGGAAGAGACTATGAAAGGGACAACAAAGAACAACAATCTTTATATTACACAATCTGACAGTCCACCACTGACAGTCGGTTGGTCTGAAATACTTCAACAACTATTGGATGGATTGGCATGAAATTTGGTACAGACTTTCATTTATAGCTACACCTCCTCTTTGATGGTAGTGGAGTGCTGGAAGAATTTATATTATTACTTGACCTCACAGGAAAGAATAATGCACTCAGACTGAGACACTCAACGGCAAATGTAACATTATGGGCTGCAGCTGTAAAGCCAGAGCCGCATCTGTGACACTCCTCGAGCTTGAGAAGTGCTCCTTCAACACGAAGCAGAATCCATAAACATCCTCTCCTCTCCTCTCCTCTCCTCTCTCTCATATCCCCTTCCTCAGCTTGAACACTCATTGTAATTGACTAAGAAATCAGAAGATAGGAGGACAGCAAATACTGTATATAGACATAGGCTGTACTTGCAATATCATGTGATTTTCCACAATCCAAATATCATCTAACTCACTGTTTGTCAGAGTAGTATTTAAAGTTCCTGAATGAATGTTCATAACATTCGGTAAAATATGAAGTGTTAGCTTGTTGATATTACTCTTCTCTTGAATCATGTAAGGTCCACACAGAGGTCCTTCCAGGTGGTAAACATTGTTTTTTATTTTGTTCTACTTCTAATATACTTCTAATAACTGTAATACCAGCTTCACTTTTGGGCCCATTTTGCTATTCTCCCCTCATTCTCTTTCACTTCACCACACACATCTTCATTTGCAATGCAAAACATTTGTTTTTTTTAATTATCCCTTAGTCACTTTTTATCATCCTCTCATTACTATGACTTTACATTAACTCATATTCCAGAGAAAGCTTACAGTCTTGTATCAGCATCAACACAAATGATTATCCAGCATATGACTTGTATGCACTCCACTCAATCCCAGCTTTTATGTATTTTTTCATTACTGGCACAAATGTTTACAAGTAAGGTTTAAGCCTCATTTAAAACCCTCATTTGGATTTGAGGCTGTTTTGTCTTTCATGCACCACTTCCCTCGTCTCAAACCAGAGATAATTCCTTGTAAGGAAACTGAAGACATCTTGTAGGTGAAAATCTGTTTTTGGCCTCACTTAAGGGACTAACTGTCTGATATCCCTCCTCTGTCTCTGCAGGTTTTGGGATGACAACACCTGTGACAGTTGCAGGCAAGGTGTTCCTGATCTTTTATGGGCTTCTGGGCTGTGCTGCCACCATCCTCTTCTTTAACCTTTTCCTGGAGCGCATCATCACACTGCTGGCCGTGGTGATGAAAGCTGTGAGGGAGCGGCGAATCAGGAACAGTGGTATCCTTCCACCAGGCATCCGCCATGATTTCTCAGCCTACTCCCTCCCAGGCTGGAAGCCGTCTGTGTACCATGTGATGCTGATTCTCGGCCTGTCAGCCATCACTATCTCCTGCTGTGCATCAGCCATGTACACCCCCGTGGAGGGTTGGGCGTACTTGGACTCGCTCTACTTCTGCTTTGTCACCTTCAGCACCATCGGCTTTGGGGACTTCGTCAGCAGCCAGACCGCGGCTTACGAATACCAAAGCCTCTACAGGGTCGCCAACTTCCTCTTCATGCTAATGGGTGTGTGCTGCATCTACTCGCTCTTTAACGTCATCTCTATTGTCATCAAGCAGGTGCTCAACTGGATGCTGGAGAAAATGAGCTGCTTGTTTTGCCAGCGCTGCAATAAGGCCAACGCCTTCCTGGGCAGACGCAATGCCATCCGCCCGGGCTCCAAGCGTCGCAAGGGTCGGCTTGGCAAGCCGCCCGACTCTGATGGACCTTGTGACAGTGACACTGAGGGGCGCAGACTATCGGGGGAGATGATCTCTATGAAAGACCTGGCAGCCTCCAACAAGGTGTCGCTGGCCCTCATGCAGAAGCAGCTGTCTGAGTCGGCCAACGGATATCCCAGGACAGTCTGTGGCAGCTCACGCCATAATGGTTTCTCTGGGGGGGTTGGTGCCCTCGGTATCATGAACAACAGGCTGGCAGAGACAAGTAACTCCAGGTAGAGGGTAGAGGACCTTGTGAGATAGGAAACAAATCATGGGAGCTCTTTATTCTCATACTGTGTAACAAACCCAGAGGTTTATCGCCATAGAAAAAATATTGGATTGCCAGTGTACCTTGTTATGCATGATTTTTTTTGGATACTTGTGGAATTACAAGCCTGTGGTGATAATACAGGTAAATGATGGTGATGGTGATGGTTTTGGTGATGATGATGGCATGAAGAGAGAACCTCAGAGTCGACAAAAAAAAAAAAAAAAAAAAAAAAAAAAAAAAAAATTAAGTTGATGTGGAAGTGTGGGGACCACCCATCGCCCATTTCATTAACCTCAAACCCAACCCAGAACAAAACCACTGAATATCTCTTAAATATCAGTGTTAGTCTGCAGAGGAAATAGTCTGTTATACACGCTCAATATATCGGACTGAAATGTTGTACTGTAAAAGAGCCAAGGGAAGCATACAGTGCAACCTTTACTGTTTGGGGGGTTTTGCCAGTTTATTTGAATGTACATATTGAATGCTGATAGAAACATGACAAGCGTAATCACTGAATGATATAGCACATACTGATCTATGCATTATACTTCTCATGCATTTCTTTGCACCATGTATAGACCTTCTATCGATTCTGCAAATCCCATTCCTTCTTGACATGGGTCAAGTTTTTCCCTCAGGTGATTAATGTCATTTCTGGGGGCAAGTGTGGAAAGAGGAGTTTCTAAGTGTGGCCGTGATGTAGCTGATTTCGACAGGGCTGTAGCGAGGGGAGGTTTTAAATTGCGCCACAATAAGGGGCTACAAAGAGTAGTTTCCGATTCCTCGAGATGGAGATAAGAGCAGTGTTGAAGAATGAAAATCCATTCGTCACGAGAGAGGAACTGGCCTTTTTACTCAGCTGAGAACTGCTTTGCTGGTTTTAAAACGTTGACTTGAAGGCACCGTCCAACTCTTTCTCTCTGTTCTTTTTCAAGTTTATAGCCATCTGCAAGGAAAACAAATGATAAAAGCTTTCAATGTATTAATTATACTTTGAATGCAGAATGTAGACTTACGTATTTGTAAAACAGAATAAATGAAAAGCTAGTTAATGTTTGTTTGTAGTGAAATATGAGGGAGTGGAGGGAGATGGAGAAGGAGGCAAAATATGGATGGTTTCATCCCGCAGGCACATTATGTTAAATGATGCAGATTGAAAGTAGCTGGGTCAATCTCAGATGCTGCAGTAGAAAACAAAACCCTAAAGGATTCTCTCACTTGCATTGATTCAGCTCTTGTGGAAGTTTCCCTCAGACTTCTTTGCAGACGCGTGGCTCCCACTGTAAAACAAAGCTTGATACAAAATTCTGCAGAGGCTGATTTCAGCGTAAATGTGTAGCCAAGGTTTAACGGATGGAGGGTGTTTGCGGAGGATATGGTGCTGCCCTGTCAGGCTTCACGATCAATGTCCATGTTGCCAGTAACTATCTCTTCCAAGGCATCTGTGATTTAAAGCCGCGTGATGGTGTTTGATGTTCGTAAACAGCAAGACAGAGAAGAAGACGCTGGTAGTCAAACCGTCAGGGAGACAGTGATGAAAGAAGAGAACTAGAGAGGGGGGCTGGTGACAGCAGCAGAGGTAGAAGAGGAGGTGTGTTAATCGACTCCCTTCAGATCCAAATTCATGCCCATTATAAATCAACAGCCTCTCGCAGCCAAGGGCTCAACTTTTCCTGGCGTCTATCTTCAGCATCTAATATCATCCCAGGTCGCTCACTTTTTTTCCTGTCATCTCTGCATTCATTTCACACACACTGCACCAAAACCCTCCTGCTTCCTTTTACTTGCAGATCTTGGCTCTCTCCTCACGCTCATCACCCTTACACTGTGAATATGAGACATGTCATAAATGTGTGTATATATATATACATATATATATATATATATATGTATATGTATATATATATATAAATATAGCGCTGGAACATCTTAAAAAGCGCTTTTACAATAAGGCGTGACTGGATCTGGGTCTTTACTTTGTTGATTTTCATCATTTCAGAGCATAGAGCTGAATAATTTCCTTTACTCCCCAGTCTCACCAAGAGGAATAGAGAAAATGACTCAGGTAGTTAAATCTTCAGGCTTGTCTTAGTTTTTCCTGCATGCCATTATGGTAAAGCCATACAAGATAGATGTATATAAAACAGAGGACTCTTTAAAGTCTATTTTTCTACATATAGCTTTCAGATATCTACACGTGGAAGACTGACAAAGTCTCACTGTCATGTCTCTTACACAATCAGTCAACAGATTGATGAGATGCAGCATTTAGAGCTTGACTACACTCTACAAATACGGATATTAGAGTCACAAAGTGAACACAAGGTTTTTCAGGTGTGAAAGAATATTTTGAGAGTTTTGGAAATACTCATATTCGCTTTGTTGCAGACAGCTAGATGAGAGGATTGATACCACTCTCATATCAGTGTGGCAAATATGGAGCAGGAGCTGGTTAGCTTAGCATAAAGACAGGAGCTATTTAGTCATAAACCCACATTGAGTGTTTTTTACTCTTTGCTGTTTGTACAGTTTGAACAGACGAGATATACTGTGATTATTTGTTATCATTAGAATAAATGGTCGGCAGATTATCTTTGGACAGAGCCAGGTTAGCTGTTTCCCCCAGTTTGCAGTATTTATGCTATGGAAAAACTAGCTACACTTTCTTGACAGTAACCTCCTGGAGTCTCCACTGGTTACCTAGCAACTGGTGACACCCCCCACCCCCCAACCCCCCCTCGTAAAACAGCGAATCGTGGAGATGTAATGTGTTGCAGTTTCCTCCAGTTTCCTGTCTTTATGCTATGCTAACTTCCTGGCTATGTCCTTAGATAATACAGTCTGCCTAGCAGCACATCTGAAGCTCACTAATCAACACATTATACCTCAATGTCTAGTTTTATGACTATCCAGTTGTTGCCCCAGTTTTCTGTCTTTATGCAAAGCTAAGCTAACTGGCTGCTGGCTGTAGCTTCAAGAATAGCCTATGTGTATTTCCCAAAATGTCAATTTATTCCTTCAACAATTCCCAACAGAGAGGCTCATGAGCAGCAGAGTGAGCGTATATTGGCAATGATGATGTGAAGCTGGCAGCGCCGGGGGGGGGGGGGGGGTCATGTGTTGCCACACTGTTTTTATCTGTGACACTGCAGCCATAGAAAAGTGTCAAACCCTAAGACATTTGAGGAGGAGTATGGGCTTGCTGTAGCAAATGACATACTGTAGTTTGAATTCAGTGGTGTTTCCCTGCTGTAGTATTTCATGAAGGGAGGGAGTTTTGCTGGCACATCTCTACAATAATGATTCTTGAATGGCGTTATATGTGAACCTTCATTTTCCCTCTGAGGCTTAAGGTGACAGTGGCAGAGGTTTCAGGATTGCTTACTGATTTTTAAAAGCCCCTCCTGCCATCAGCTGCATCATATCCTCAACCTTACTTTTGACAAGGAGCATGTGTGTGCATATGTGTGTCCAAACCAGTGTGTAAAAGACTGATAATGAGAATTAAGGGACTGTGAATGTTATCTTAAATGCTTCCCTAAACATAGGTCGCCCAGAAGTTATTTGACTCAGTATAATATCCATTAAAATGTATTTTCCTTAAGCCTGAAATACATCAAGCTTTTAAGACATTGAATATAGTATTTAGAGTAATGTTTGCTCACCTAAAATGCATGCGTGTCTTGAAATCAATTGCCTTACTTTAGTCCTTGCATATTACAAAAAGGTTCCTTATGAAAAGATTATAGTGATTAGAGCTTGTGTGTTGTACTATACAATCCTTTTGCATTTTGCAAAATTGATCTCCATTGATTGCAATGGTTTTAACTGCTCCACTGTCCTCTGTATCTTCTGTAAGAGGAGATAGGTGGTCTTAGGATTCCCTGTATGTTTGTATTTGTTATCAGCAGAAATGCCTCTTTGATGTGATATCACTGATTTTTCTTTTTAGTGTAATTAATTGCTCTCATGTTCTCATCCAACACAAAATTAGACTGAAGTGATGCAAAATTTATAGCCCACACTATTTGTACATAATAAGGGTGAACATAGCAGACTTGGATCACAGCACTGTGTAAAGTTGTCAGCATTCATTTAATCTTAAATTGTTAAAATCAACACTGCCAGTGTTTATTCCACTCACCACATATTCTACTGTATTCACACTGGAAATTCTGCTCTGTAGTCAACAGCACTTTGACTGTAAAATAGCTCCATTAAAATGTCATGCTCCATAGCTGTTACAAGCCCATAATAAAACAATTTGTTTGAAATAAGCAGAGACTGGAGATGTTGTTAGTGGTGATCTCGAAGGCTGTTGATGGTGCTAATGGCATTATCATTTATTCAGCAAAGCTATTATTTTTTTCTGATCACAGTATGATTCACAACACTGTGCTTGCGCTCCACTTTCCTCTGAGGAAGAGTGCGTGAACTCTTTCGTATTTTGACATTGTTAACACTGCTCGTTTCAGGAACAAAATATATTTATACTAATTTGGCTGGAGCAAACTGGAAATGGCTGTTACCAGCGGGCAGGTAAACAGCTGAGTGGCTCAGTAACAGGATGATGTATTACAGCTGTGCTTGGCTGCTTCTGATCTTTAACAAGAGTCACATTGTTGGCTTTGATCTGGATCTTGATTTCCAAAACCACAGGACATATGTGCCTGGTGTTTTTTATTATATATATATGAAGACGGATGATATGGAGCCACAAACTTCAGAGATCTCAATTCAAAAGCTGCTTCAGGTGTCTGTAATCCACAGTTATGTTGACCTTTGCCTCTATCAACATCTACAGCTACACCTTGGTGTGTGTCTCATGTTGCTTGCATTGTGGTGTAACATCCAGTTAATGTATGCAAATTAATTCTGTTTGCAAGTTGCACATTTATACCAATGATTGTACTTTTATATTTATGTAATTAAAAGTAAAACCTACATGAAACAAGAGGGGGTTCCATTAAACACTGATATTTACTG